GACAGTGCACCATATTACGTACAACAGGCAATGGAAGAAACAGTGGACGAAGGGCATTTGAATCCAGCCAATAATTATGTATATCAATATTATTATGTGCTTAGGAGTCACCCATCAAGGGGCAACTTACAAGACAGATGGTAGTACATACAAAAAGGAAATTCAAACACAGAAATGTAAAACTACAAAATGACAAGAAAAACAAAACAGTGAGGCAGGCACACAATAGGTATGCAATGCCTGTACAGTACAGAGCAGAGAAAATGTTCATTGAGTGGTAAACGATGTGTAGGTGGGGATTCATGAATTACAGCAAAGAAGAAATGCCATTGAGCAGAGTGCTGCATCAACCAGCGGAAACTGTTCACCACAGTGTGAGAGAGATCACAAGCACTAAACAGGGCGCACTTGTGAAGACGCCGAAAGGTGGTCAGGGGCTGGGCATTTCATTCCAGTACTGGACCAGGGATGAGAACGAGCAGGCCCTGGAGGAGGTCAGAGGCGAGGAACAGACAGTCTGGTGGAGGAGGAGGAGGTCAGGAGAGGGAACAGGGAGAGATGGAGAGTTTTTTTTCTGAAAGAGAAACTGCTCTGACATGATCATGACTGCTAGTCTTCTTCCTTCTTCCTAAATAATTATTGTTCACTTTTATTGTCCATGGGAGGACTGGGATGACACTTACCATGTATTACTCTCCAACAGAAAGTTACACATTACATAGAAAAACAAATGCAAACAAAGAGAAAAGCTTATTAGTTTTTAAATAAGGAGCCCAAAGTGTCCTTACTGTTTTGCTATAATCTTTCAAGGGCATTGTATTCATCAGCCCTCAAAATCGATCATGGCAGCAAACTGCAAGCAGCTGGAAGGTAATATCCCAATATCCTTTGAGGAAACTTTAATCAGTTTGGAATGCTGTGTGTTTTCCCAAGAAATATTACAATTATAATGGCAGAACTGCTACATCACAATCACCAAGTGTGCAGAACTGTTGCAGACAAACCAGTGGAGGTAAACGTATTTAAGTAGGGCACTGTTTGTTGTTTTTATCCAGGAGGTTAATGACATAAATCAGCTTGCATCTGTTTAGTCACAGGACGTGGTGAAGCGTGCTCAGAAAGTGCACGGAAAAGTCGAGAATCTTATAAAATATTATAAATGATAATATTCAGAATCATCAATGTGTATGTCACTCATTACGCCGGAGTGAATATAAATGAGAAAGGAATCTGTAATCAAATGTGGAGGCTCGATCCTGTACAGAGTTGCCAGTCTAACCTCATATTCCTCAAACACCATTTGAAAACTCAGATTTTAACCTTCCAAGAATCACCTTTTAGACAGTTCCCTCACCTTCAGAATACAGAGTACTTGTGGGAAACAGGACCGCTCCCTGGGTACCTCCTCAGCCTGTCAATGTTTTTGTAACCATAGTGTAGCCAAATATTCGTCCCTCAAAAATGTTCCTCAGCTGAGCAGTGCACTGAGCAGTGGGCGGAGTGGTGGCTCTGTGGCTAAGGATCTGCACCTGTGGCTGGAAGGTTGCCGGTTCAAAGCCTGCAGAGGAATCCTACTCCGTTGGGCCTTTTAACCCCAGCTGCTCCAGGGACGCCTTATAAATGGCTGACCCTGTGCTCTGACCCCAAGCTTCTCTCTCCCTGTCTGTGTGCCTATGTGTCTCATGGAGAGCAAGCTGGAGTATGTGAAAAGACAAATTCCTAATGCAAGAAATTGTAGATGGCTAATCACTTAAACTCTCTCTCTCATCCCTCTCTTCAGTGACTTAGTAGTCTAGGGCCACAAACAATCAGAAGCATTTCAGCATTGTACCTGAGCAGTTAAATGACAACTGAAATGTACTTTCTTGAAATTTATGTTGTTTGATCCCTAATGTTTGAGTGTATTGCCACAGTGAAGTTTCAGAACGCAAACTCTTTTATGCATCTTAGGCATTTGTCCTTTGATATTTCATCTTTTTGAAATGTCACTTGAGTCCAACCACAAAGGTTTCTCCTGTAATTAAACAAGCTCACATGACTACAGCTATGTCTGAGCTTAACTCTACGCTTTAGGATTCCTAAATGGAAGTCTGTATTTGGGAATCAGAGAGAAATTTAATTCTTTGAATTAAATCAAATGACAAAATATAATGATCATCATTTTTAATGATCTAGCACATTTGTGAAAAGTGTAGATGTACCTCTGCCATCTTCTCATACTGACAACGGAAAGAATATGATTATGAATAAAATGATAGGTGGATATACATACAGTCAACCATGCAAAGTGTCTGCAGAACAGTGGTTCTGCTCATTTTATTTTCCAAAAACAATTTTTTAGTGTTTGGCAGTAGTCTTTCAAATGTAACAGGGATATTGTTTTCTTTGAGTCCAAGAAGAATTTCACAAAATCTGTATCCATTTTAAATCTACATCAACACGTGCATAGCCCAGAATGGGCATAAAAAGTCTGGCAAAGACCCTGGTCCCTCGTTCTTACAAAAAAGCTATTCAAACCTTAGACGTCTCAGGGTGATCTGCTTATTTTTAAAGGGAGTGAGAATTTACAGCATATGTTAAAAAACCTCTGTGAGAGATTAAGAGCATTACAGATTAATTTAGATACGGATTGTTCCACTTTTCATTGAGCTGTCGAATCTTGGATGCGTTCCTGGACTGTAAGGTGACACACCAAATGATAAAACAATAAGCCATCTGGATGAAAGACCCAAGACAGACAATCCATTACCGTGCATCAGCATGCCCTGAAAAATCTTTTAGAGAAAAACGTGGCCGTGCCGGAGTTTCAGGAGTTTAAGTGTAAGAAAAGTCTTTTTAATCACAGTCAGCTTTTTCTCATTTATAGACAGCATGCTGAGTGACATATGCGTTGATGATTATGAATATTAACACTTATAATATTCTCACCTTTTCCTTATTTGATTCCTTATTAGTATTATTAATGATAAGTGGTCATCTCAACAGTCAGTAATGTTGGGTACACATGGGGCTGGACAGGCTGATCATCCTTTCTCACCACGAACAAAGGAAACTCTGCATTCTCATTGATTTTCATATATTTTACTCTAAAAAGGCAAGGAATTCACTTTGAGGGCTTTTGGGGATTCATTGGATCCCTGTAATTCAAGGGATGTGGCGTCTGGTAGCTCACCTCCTGGTGGCAGTGCTACAGCCTCCTGAATCTAACATGAAAGCTCCATCAGCCACACAGACAATAGCTGAGGGAACTTTATTAAAGGAAGCGGAGAACCTAATATGGCTGATCTGAGAGGCTGGGAAAACCAAATTTCTCTTCTGAATCCCCACCTGGAGTTCAAGATGAATAATTTACCTGCTTTTCCATCCATTCAGCTACTATCCCTGCCAAAAAGCTCCATAACGGCACTATTCTCCCAGTTACAATAAAAGCAAGTCTTGTTGAGAATGGCTACATAATACCAGGATTACAATTATTCCTTCTTCAAAATGACATATGAAAATGTTCCAGAGAAACTCGTTTTACTTGAAACTTCAAGACAGGCCATTTATTTATTTTTAATCCATGACAAGAATTCTGAACTTTTTGATCATCATGCCAGTTTGCTTTTGACATTGTGCATTAGTCAAATAGATTAAATTTTAAAAAGAAAGCGCTTGGAGCTCCATATTGCATGATATTTCACGACAGAAAAAACATCTGAAATATTAAACTTCATAATATATGGGGTTTCAAAATCACGAAACAAGTCTAGGGATATTACTAAGCAGTGGAAGTCCGGTATCACAGAGTTCAGTGATGTGCGACGAGTTTGGTGCTGTTATGTTCTTAAAACAGGTGCCACAATCTTGTTTTAAATCATTATGCGTAAGAAGCATAATGTACGTCGGCTAAAACACACAAAGAATGTGAGATAAATCTGCGTTTCAAATGAATTTATTTTAAATTGTTTGGACATGTTATGGGTACTTAGTAACGTTACATTATAAAGTATGTTAATCTAAATGCCCATGCATAATTGAATACTTTGGCGTTTAAATGAACGAAATAATAAATTTAAACTAACCCGTATAACATTGATTTCTATCAATAAAATTGATATGAATTATCACCGATTTACCAGACCTCCCTAAGTGTTCTCAACAATGTCAGGGAGAAATATTTGCTCAACTGCCGTAAAAAGAAATATATTTTATAAAGTGTGAGAGGAGGCAGTTTCTAAGATGAAACCACCCGCAGGAACACAAGGTATCTCGGAGGGGTGGAGTTTCGCTGCTGAACGTACCACAAGGGCGGAGACCCGTTCACACGGGCTCCTCCTTAATACTAAACATTGATTTTTATTATTGAAGGCCTTCTAAAATGAAACCGCAGTAGCAAAAAATCCCCGTTAGCTACAGTAATTCAACATGTCCAACTTAATCCCTTTTTTCCCCCCAAACGGGACAAACCAGAACATGAAAATGAAACCAATTAATTTAGTGTTTTGGTGAGTGGGACGTGCTGATACACTTAATTGTACAAAAAGCCATTTTGACTGTTTGACTTTCTTATTTTAATACACACTGAAAAATGGCAGCCATAATAAATCGACGTTCATTGAGATATTTATGAGTATGCACTGTATATTGACGCGCAAGAAAACCGCATACAGCCTAAAGGATGAGGACGAGCACAAAGTCGCTGCTTCTAAGGGTCCCATTTCACCCTGGTGCAAATTAATGGATGAATCATATCTTTTCAAGAGGTGACACCCCCCAGCTAAATGGAAAGGAAAGCACTTTCTTGATTTGCATGACTCGCACGCTGACTGCAGCATTTAAGGTTAGACGAATCGCCGCTGCGTAAAAGCATATCGACAGCAAATAATTTAAATTGACCGCTAATGTGTTCGGTGTAATTTATTGGGTTTGCCGCCTGAGCTGTGAGGGACTGACAGTGTAGGAAGCAATACATGAAGATTAAAACGCAGGGAAGAGGATTGCACTCTTTCGATATTACATTCGTGCCTGCTCCATTAACATTAGCACGTCTCGTCCCAGGGTTCTTGCGTTTTTGTCATTATAATGCACACCCCTGCCACACTGCAGGTTTACCATTAAGTAGTAACATAATTTATAGACTCTCGGAAATAGGGTGAAAGAAAGAAATCGGGTTTGTCGTTATCTATTTGCTGCGGCAGGTCTAGTCTATCACATTTGTCCTTTCACACTAATCATATCAGCGAAAGCAGCAGGAAAGGGCGAGGAGCCCGACACCCAGGTCTCGGTTAAGCCCCGCGATGTCGTCTTGCAGTGCGGTGCCGTGGTCTGCTTTTGAGCAGAAGCCCTGTCGGTGAACTGCACCTCAATGGACGAGAACGTCTCAAACCGTGGAAAATGCGGTGAGTTCACGAAAACAAACGAGCATTTAAAGTATTTCGATGAGCAGATGTCAGTTATATCGGGGTTACCCAGTCCTTGGCGTGGGGACCCAGCTGCCCTGACCTGAGCACTCAAATAACTGAACTCTTAATTAGCCTTAATAATTAGCTTAATTCGAACTCTCCACCCGGTCATAAATATGTAGGATACTGCCTTTTAACAATTGCTTTTCCTAAAGTCCAGGAAAGGTTCCAAACAAGCAAGCTGTTGGTTCCGTTAAGCATTCATTTAAGCACAGAGCCCAGCTGCAATGAAAACCAGCAGTTGAGCAGGTCTAACAGCATGTGCACCAGTCCAGAATTAAGCCCAGGAATTGAGAGAAAGCAACACAACATGATATTGAGCCTATAGTACAGTAGTAGTGTATATGATTTAGTACAGTATATTATTTTTCAAGACAATGATTCATTAGAGAACGTTTTTTTCCTTTTAATATCTCAGTGTGAATGTTACCATTCATATACATCCTCTAAATGTGGGTCACTAATGTCTTTGTACGCCCTGGGGTTTCCGTATCGTTCTTTAATGATTGAGTGCTTCCTTTCCCACTGTGCAGATGTGGCTGAATTAATAAACCCAAGAACAATCGACAGGATTCTAAGTCTGTGTCAACCGCTGTAGAGACTTGAGTCCTTGTGTGAGTTAGTAGTTTTGGGCATGTTGCAACTTGTTGAGAAGAGAGTTAGGGAGCCCATAGAGTGGAGAAATCAAGCCTTGATGTTATAAACGTATTAATCAGGCACTCAGCATCAGACATTGATAGAAACGGCATGCAATGCAGGCGATATTTCTAAGATGGATGAAAGATGTCTTAATCAATTTTTTCACGCTCAAAAGGCCTGTCATGCCCTGTACTTCTGCTCTACTTCTGTCCTGTTCCTAGTTCCCTGTGATTATTCATGTCTTTCTGGTGTGTCTTGTTGTGTAGCCTATTTACTTCCGGTGTCTGCTCTGCTCCCTGCTCAGCATTGAGGGTACGGATGTCCTGAGACCCACCTAGCACCAGGTCGCCCCACGTCCGTGGCCTGAGGGCATTGTCACGGATGTCGGAAGGGACGTACCTTGGAATGGCAGGAGAGCGGAAGAAGACCCTACGTGAAGTGGCGGGACGCGGGTTAGCCCGGGCTCAGCAGTTCAGGAGTCGTATAGAAACCTGTGCCCTCAGGCAGCGGACGTGGGGCGACCTGGTGCCAGGCGGGTCTCAGGACATCCGAACGTCAATGCTGAGCGAAGAGGAATGAGTGACCCGGAAATATACAGCCCCAGAGAGAGAGACACCGGAAGGACAGCAAAGCACAGGAAACTAGGGACAGGACAGAGCAGGAGCGCCCTCTGGCTGCAGAGGGCGTGACAGGCATAGGTTTCTATACCGACATCGTCTGACCCCCTGAGCCTGGGCTAACCTCCATGTTGCCTCCTTTTACCGCTACGCATAGGGTCTTTATTGCTCAGCTGGCCATTCCACGGCTTGCCCTTCCGATATCCGTGACAGACGGGAGAGGATCAAGTGTGACTCCCAGATTCCTGACTGTGGTTCATGAATGGGGAAGCCATCAACCAACACTGTGAAACCCTTGTGATATAAGGTACAAGATGTCTTCAGGGAAGTGCCTGATGGGATTCTTATTCGGACTGTGGATTTGGACTGGGATATTATTATTTCTTAATTATTCTTGCAAGTAATTCACCCTGAATGCTTTGTGTATGATTCAGTGAAAAAAGCAATTTGAACCTTCTGGTTTAAAAAAAATAAAACACTCTCATTCTGTCATTAACTGTCCCCAGTTAATGGGGACAGTTAATGGCACTCTTATTTTCTGTATGTGAATATATACAGTGAAAATAGATTTTTCCCACTCTATTTTCTGTATTGAAGCACTGGAACCATCTGCATTAAAGACATCAGTCTGAAAACAGCAGGTCTGTTTGTCTTGGTATCATAGCCAAATCCTGTACAGATAAGTAATATCTGGTCTGAGGAAATTCCCCTTAGCCTGATTAATGCTCAGATTAAAGTCTTAACCCCACTACAACAAGCTGTTGTGTGGGTAGCCTGGCTCTCATACCAAAAGTACCCATAGTGAAATCTAGGATAACGAAACTGGGTGGCATTTTTATTGTGAAGTAATTTCAGACCCTTAAATGAGAATAACGTACTAAAGCATGCCTTGAGGATTTACAAGAGGCAAGAGCTGTAATAATATCTTGTCAAGGAGGGAGTATAAACTCTCCGATTGTATTGGCATATTGATCATTTTGAGCACGACATTGTGGAGGTATCAGCTTAGCCATTGTGTAACATCCTTCCCATCTACAGTACATCAGGAGCTTTCTAAAGGTGTCAAGAAATGGCCAGTAATTGTGTACAGTCCCCAGATCCTGTATCATCTATATCCTGACTACTGATACTGCAATCCCTTCTTTTGAGAGGAAGTCTCCCTTTGACAAGATAATAATAATAATGTTTCTTTATTAGCCCTATACAATTTCTTGCATTAGGAATTCATCTTTTCACATACCCCAGCTTTTTCTCCAAGGAGACACAGACACGCATGCAGGGAGAGAAGCTTGGGGTCAGAGCGCAGGGTCTGCCATTGTACGGCACCCCTGGAACAGTTGGGGTTAAGGGCCTTGCTCAGGGGCCCAACGGAGTAGGATTCCTCTGCCAGCCACGGGATTTGAACCGGCAACCTTCCAGTCACAGGCACAGATCCTTAGCCACAGAGCCACTGCTCCGCCCTTCAATGATGATGCTTTTCAAAGGGGCTGTATGAACGGCATTAACTAACCATCACACTCCCAGACAGGAAAGATAGGCTCTTGAGCTCTCTATGAATGAATTGGGCTCAGAGGGAACATTTGTTCATCAGAGGATGCAGGGAGCAAGCAAAATATTTTGCAATAATTAAAAAATATTTAAAATAATAAAACATAACGCAAATGTTCTCTCTTATTCTAAGACAACCAATAGTTATTAAGATGTAATAAGTTCATAATTACACAGGATGTTACTTGTTGTTGAATTTTAATGGAATTAAATGTAGAGCAAAGGAAGACATCTTACATTATGATGTGGAGTTTAATGGATTGAATAGGGCTGTTTTGTCTATATCAAAAGATTTAGAATACACAAAGTCCTGAAAGTTATGCCAAAGCAGTCTGAATTATTTGACATTTTTTGCTAGATTTAGCATAGATAGATTTTGATAGATTTAGCATTTTTGTGCTGGACTTTATCCCTGGCCAGTCTATAAATGAATAAGACAGCGTTGTTCTCCGGTGATTTAAACACTTTCACTGGAAACTCAGTAAAGCAAATACCTTCGAGCACATCAGCAAAAATAAAAAAACAACAACAACAAAAAAACCACTGACACATACTCTCATAAACCTACCATGATTCATTTCTGGTTAGAAAATGTGTGATCTTCCTTACCGTTCCCGAAGTGGTGTGTGCTGACAGGTACTGTGAAATAAGAAAAGAAATCCCCTCGCAACAAGAACGGACCGTGGTGTGACTGATGGTGGCCGTGTTATGAATTTAATCTGTGGAAGTAAACATTAAATCTTCTGTGGTTATTTTATTGACCACCTACAGTATTGCTATACTTTGTCAAGCTAAGGAAGATGAGGACCAATTTGTTAAATTCTCTGTGCTAAGCCACAGGTGATAAGCACACTGCCTTTAAAATTTCCAGCTACCTGCCACCCTCTTCTCTAATGGGCCTATCAATCTGTAATGAATGGCTAAGCACTGTTGCAGACGCCTTGACTCCACTGCACTGCTATATTTTTGGAGTCTGCCCGTCTGAATCCAATTTCTCACTCCTTGGAGAAATATACTGCACTAACATCCTTATCCCTCCTTCAAAGTTTCTGCATTCTATTGCAAAATTGCAGAATGACATACTTTTGCATTTTCCTTCTATTATTTCATTTATGAGACGCACAAGGTGACAGTATTCTCCCAGGCTCTGCACAGTTTTTGGTTGTGTTGACAAACAGTTCTCAGGTGCTCAAACTCTGAGGAAGTGCACAGCACTCTGAGTGGTAGCCACTGAAATATCAAGAGAGTCCTAGCCGATGTATCACATCCAGTAACACTAACTAGATAGAAAGTCTGAATAAAAAACATGGAAAAATCCTGCATTCCCCTTATACTGCCAGTCTCATGTATACTTATGTGTTCAGAATCTCACAGAAGTAAACTAACACAAATCATAAAAAATGTGTTCATTTAGTCACTGTATTCTTATTGTCAGGAATCCTTGAATAATTTATTTGGAAACAGTATTTGAGGCTTATTTCCACCCAAATCCTAAAATACAGCTTAAATTCTTCAGTAGGGATTTTCTATCAAAGTACCAAAAATCTGTTCTCTACAGTTCCTCTTACTATGTAGATAATTTCTCAGCTCTCCCCAGAATACAACTGCACGCCTGCAAGTGGCTTATTTATTGTACCTGTTGCCCAGTGGCAGATATCCTGTCATTTTCAACCTGGGTAACTTCACCAAACTCGGTTTTCTATTTGAAACACTATTTTAAACTTTGAAACTCTCTGTTTCCCTTGCATTTTGAACATGGGATTCCAATTAATTAATTCAAATCAAATTAATCAATCTGGTTAATTCACACTCAAATACACATCAAAAATCCTAACAGATGATGTATCATGAGTGATAAAGCAAGTTTTTAAAGAAAGCCCCCCCCCCCCCATATTTGCTTTACGCAAGGCTCGGATTTGGAAAATTAATTAACTGCACTGCCATGTTCGTCCGAGTTGGAAAATTCATCCGTTTTATGGATCGACAGCTGTGCAAGTAGCTCCATATTTTAGATTAGATGGAAAATGGTGCAATCCATTTCTCCAGGGTCAATTGGTTTGAGAGCATTCCAGTCCTCTTCGGGGCCTGACAGATGGAAATGAGGCATTGATCATGTCATAGTGACTAAGTGCCAGCCAGGCTGCCTGTAGCCTTATAATCTCAGCCTGTTCCCCATGTGTGAGAGGGGGACCAGCTCAGTCGGTGGTCCTTTCTTTTCCTTTTGCCATGAAGGAAAATAAGTGACTATGCAGAAACTGTGAGTTCAGTTCCAAACGAAATTCAGAGTGCACACTACTCTTCTGCCACAGCTGGAGCAAGATTCCCTTGTAAACATCAGTCCTCGATGGCAGCTGCTTGTGTTACTGCAGTCTGATCTTGCATTAATATTATTAGCCCCGGTTTAATCGCTGCTCTCGCAAATTCGCTTATTGCAATTATTCGTTGTACGAAATAATAAAAAAAGGAAACACGATCAACAGACCAAATCACTTTATCTGTAATGCCAAACAGTGATGATACAAGCAGCCTAATCTCTCAGGAGGTTAATCTGTCCACCCCTCCTCCAACAGGCTCAGAACGCGCCGTCACAGCTGTGGTTTTTGCAGAATATGACTAAATCAGTGTAACTGAAAATCTAGCAGTTTGCTAAGGACACCGGAGGAGGGGGAGTCCCCTCACACCTCCGTTTAACCGCCTTCACCTTGACATAAAAAAACACACACAAAAGAAAAACCGGCACCTTTCGACTTCTTGTTATTAATCCATGCATTTTGACAGCTCCGAGTTATTGAACCTTCAAGGTCGTCAATTTAACGTTGCCGATAAGCCATGTGCTTTGGCTGCTGCATTCGTTCACCTTTTGGGAACACACTTGGCTACATGCTTTACTGCTGCAGGGGCGAGTAAACCAGTTGTTTTCAGAGTGGATTGCATTCATTCACAATACAAAGACGCAGAATGGCGCCCACCCGACGGCAGATGATTTTAAACAACTTCCCTTCCTGCGCAAAACTGTCTTTCTTTTCAAACTGCATGAGAACTGCAAGGACAGGTTCACAGTTCCCGTGGAAGTTAACTCTAGCCCTTAACTCTGATCTGCAAAATATTTATTTGCAGTACTCGTAGGGCAGTGTTGAAAAGCAGCATGTGACAACTGATTTAACTGAAAAACCAAACAACAATTTGTCATTTTTATGACAGTCAAAATATCTTTCGGAGTAAAAGAGGAGATGGACAGCCGTGCCATATGAAGGCACTTGTCTGGGCGCCTCTGTGGGAACCATGCTCACACGGGACATTGAAACACAATCTCCTGTTTCGAGGACCGTAATCACAGGGTTCCAATCCGTGCCGCACTACTGACTGTGCAGTGAGCAACAGCGTACAGACACATTCAGTACAATCCCTGGCATTTACCGGGATCTTTCAGATGGTATAAAGGACAAAGCAGTTTTTCTTATAGGCAGTTAGATTGCCGACGGCTTCTTTGACATTTAAGGTCATTGCGATCGTGCATGTTATTTTAGAAACTAATAACACAACAATTAAGGACAAAGCCAAAGAACACAGTGATACATGTATTGGCTATTAATCTTAAATCTATTTATACAGAAAGCTCAAGAATGCTCAACACACATCACTCGGAATCTGTTAGTCACTCACACCTGAGACATGTTAGCCCCTGTTAAACCTGATGCCCGGCAATATGCCTGAGATTTCTGTGGCTTTTTTCCCCATGGAATGGGGAAAGAAGTTATCTGAAAAAAATCACCCTCTTGTTTTCACTAAACATTTGTTTCCTGCTTGTCACTAAGCAGATACTCCAAGAATACAACACAATGAATTGTATTTGTTTTAAGCAGCTGTAAGCTACAATGTCCTTCCAGTGACATAACACAAACTTACCAGTCAGCCTTTAACCAGGTACTTGCACAGTACAGTACATACTGTACCTGTTTACTCATAGCAAAGATGCATTTTAAAGGAGGCAAAACACAGGTTGAGAGCTCACAATATTGACATGAGCTCAGTTGGTTCCAGAAAGACATACAAAAACAAGACAAAAATGAATGGGGGAAATTTACAA